ATCCGGGCTGAGGCGTTTGACTCAGGATTCGATCAACATGGTCAAACGGAGTCCAATTTTCGTCGCCAATTAAGATGGTCGAACGAACACTATAGTCTAACAAAGTCGAATCATGGGTCGAACAGGGTCGATATAGTCAAACAGGGCCGAATAATGAGTCGAACAGGGTCGAGTCATGTGTCGAACACGGTCGAATCATGATTCGAACAGGGTCAAATCATGAGTCTAACTGGTCGAATGAGGGGTCAAGTAGGGTCGAACCGGTCAAAACATAGCCATTTTTAAACGAGCCGGTCGAAACATAGCCATTTTGCTCTGGTTGATTAAAACGTAAGTCCAACAACTCGGGCTATACGAATCTACGATGCCCAAGTTTGCGGCATTTTTTATGATTTTTTTGCGGTTGCCCAGGTTGAAGTTTTTGACACATGATTTGACAGAAACGGTCAAATGATGTCCGAGTTTCGTTGTAGTTCATGACGCTTCAGCTATTTCCCGGTAATAGCGAAAAATTTCCGATAAAGTCGAACAAAGTCGAACAATGTCAGGTATTGTCCAACAAAGTCGAACAAAGTCTGGTATAATCGAACAAAGTCGAACAAAGTCGAAAACGGACATTGTTCGACTCGAAAAGTCGAAATCAGACATCGTTCGACGGAAAAAGTCGAAAACGGACATAGTTCGACCGTTTCGGTCGAATCATGAGTCGCGCACCTCAGCGCGGGTATCATGAACAAGAAGTCAAAAACCCTTTTCAGGGAAGGGCGGCTCAATCGAAATTAGCTGTTATTCTTAATTATACAAGAAGAAAGTGATTTTCACTTTTCACTTATTTAGGTTTTGATGATTTTTTTTTCGGTGAAAGGTTTTAATAATTGTTCAGGATCAAATTTAATTTTTCTGATTTCATGATTTTGTTTCGTTCATTTCCGTTTACTTCTTTTCTTGACTTCATTTCTTTTTTAACAACCGAAAAGAAAAAATGAAAAAGTCGCGAAAAATCTGAATGACTTCTAGTTTCAAAAATATAATTAATTTTTATGAACTCCCAGCGGAATAAAAAAACTACCTGAAGATCCAAAATTCTTTATATGGAATAACTTTGCAAACAATCATAACACAGTTTGATATGCAAAACTATGAATTCAAAAAATTTCCGAAATCCGACTTGAGACTTTTTCTTCTTCAATCAACTTTTTTTTTCGGTTTCTTTGGTCTTTTACTTTTTTCTAACTGTTTGTTGGATGTATTTTGTTTTCTAAAACAACACTGAAATTCAATAGCCCTTCATCGATTAGCATAGTTTTCAAAAAAATTATCCATTTATGCATTGTTGATCTGACTACAAAATAGGTAGTAAATTTGTATTTGAATCATAAACTCTATTCGAAGAAAAAAATTTTTGAAGAACATGCTGATTTGAAAAGATCCTGTTTGAAAACCATTCATTGTAAAAAGAATGCCAATTAGGTCATTTATTTTGTGTGAAACGCTTTAGTTTTTCCTTTTTGGCAAAATTTTTTTTTTAACTTCTGTTCATTTTAAAGTTTCGAGTGGAAATGCCGCAATGTCCGCAGTATGATTCTTTGCTTGAACGCGCAAACACCTAACTATCTCTTGAAAACTATCTTCTTCAAAATTCAAAAAAATTATGTTGCACCAAATTTCTTTCAAACAGCTAGTTTATTTGGTAAAAGTACTGATTATAGCTCTAGGGCAAACAGTTTTATCAAATGATTTTGAAGGAAAATATATTTCTCAATGTCTTCAAAGATTTCCGCGTGTGACAATAAATAAAGTATTCATCCGGCTGTTTTTGCGTAATTTCTTTTGAATATTGTAAAAAACAAGTTGCTCAAAAATCCGATTATCTAAGTAATTGAGTTCACAAATTGCAAAATTAAATAAATCATTGGATTCTTGGGAAAACTTCAAGACAATTTTCTATCCAACAATTTTTTCTTGCTAAAAAAATCAAATATTGATGCTCAAAAACTGCTGTTTGCTCATTAGCGTTGCAGTTTTTCAACTTGAAACCTTTTTTCCTCGCAAAATGAGTTTTTTCTCTCATAATGAATAATCAATTCTTAGCAGAGGCGGATTTAGGGGGGCGAGGGCGGACGCTCCCCCCCCCCTCAGGTATTCGACCTTCTGCCGACCCAAAGGTTCCCCCCTTTGGTACTTTTTAAGAAATCCATTTTTGGCCGACCGACCCTAAAATTTTTCTAAAGGCGCCTTTGGCGCCAATATATTCTAATTTTGAGGGGGAGCGCGCATCAAAAAAACGCGATTTTTTTGGTCAAAATTTTTGCGTAAGACGCCCTTGTATCCTGTTATTTTTTTTCAAAATTTGGGCTGCGCCGCAGAAAATTTGGCCAAAAAGGGGACTAAACAGTGCTTAGGGAGAGCTCAAAAAAAGGTCGACAAATTTTTTGAAAAATTTCGAACGTTTTTTGAAAATCCGCCCCCCTCGAGAAAATCCTAGATCCGCCCCTGATTCTTAAATGGGTTTTAAAACATATCATATTAAAGCCTTTCAGTCTTAATTTGATTTTTTAAACAAGTCCTCAAAATGATTTCGGTATCAAGAAAAATCAACGCTAAATTTTTACTTTTTAGACAAATTCAGAATAAATTGTTATTGACGTTTTGAAAATTCTCAGGATTATTGATTACAAAAATAAAAATTTTCAATATATTTTCCAAATTAATTTCTAGTCCGACCCTCTTATGCGTGCAGAACATGTCAAAGAAGTTGAATAACAATAAAAAGTAAACAAAAAATACGGTTTCTTCTGCAAAAATAGTGACCGTGGGAGCCTTCTGTGCTACTCCTAACCAGCTAATAACTTTTGAAAATTGCATTTCTTTTTGAGTTTTGATATATTTTAATCGGACTGATGTTTTTCTTTTGCTATAATCGGCTCTGACATCAGATACAAATTAAGCTACGCTGGTTTTCAGGTGGGCAAAAACTTCGTCGGTGAACAGAATGTGGCCCAGTTTGAGTACCGAAAACCAGATCCCTCCAGGCCGAATGAAGGGTTCGCAGCATCAAGAGCTCTGCTGGCAAAAGCCAAACATTATGCAGTGGGAGGAGGAAGGAAACATCGGGAACTGGAGGAAGAACTAAGAGTACGTTCAAAATGTTCTCTTATTTGAGTCTTTTTTGTGTTGAAAAAGTGTAATACGATTTTTAACGTGCTTTAATCAACTCTCATGGGTCTCAGCTACGCTCCCCGCCCGTTTTTATCCTGTGTTAAAATCAGGGGCGGATCTAGGGTTTTCTCGAAGGGGCGGGTTTTCAAAAAACCCTTTCTTTAGGAGACCAAATTGGTTTTTTGAGCGCTCTCAGGACAGTATAAAAACGGTATTTTGACAGAAAATATTGCGCCGCAGGCAAATTTTTGAAAAAAAAATCAAAAATGATGTTTTTGGGCCTTTTTTGGAAAATGTCGATGTTTTTTTGGCGCGCTCTACCCCTCAAAGTGGCGAAGTATAAAAAAACTCATTAGTCGTGTAACGACGGACGTAAGTAACATAAGTAAAACAACTTGAGTTCTTTACGGCCACCAGCGCCAATGGTTGAACGCACAGTTCACGACCTCTACCTTGTTGACCTTGGTATCATGAGATAAAAGTATAATTCATATTACGTAAGAAACATATATTACTTAACAATCTCTACTGCACTCCCCCTTCATTAAATCGAAATGTTTGGTAATCAACTGACTGCCTCAAAAACATATGGGTACGTTTATTCATTTGTCTAGAGTTTCTATTGGAAGTAAACTATATCTTTTCCCCCATTTTAGGGCGAGTCTTCAGCCAAAAATTTTTAGTTAAAGTTTTAGTTCCTGAGCTCTCCAAATCTTCCAAAATAAGACGATGGTCTTCTTCTGTCTATCCAAATTGTCCGTCACCATCGGTCCGCCAGAATCCCCACTCACTTTAGCTATATTCGCTACTCCTTGGATGATCGCTGTCTGTCCCTGTTGGCCGTAATTCATTCGCTCTTTAATCGGCGAATTGCTATCTGAAACCACCGTGGGGTCCCTTTTCTTCGGCATCTGCTCGCAGAAAAGTGCTGGCAATGGTGGCATTACCGTAGGTTGATCGGTCAACGGCGTAGTTGGCAAAGTTACCACTGGTGTCTCTCCGGCAACAGTGTCAGCCTTTTCTGACGGGATTTCAAATTTGACCCGCCTGGCACTTTGTGTTGAGCTACTGTCACTTTCAGTCATAACTCTGTTGAATAATTCCTGTCCCGCCTCGTCGATGAATTCACGGGTTTGTGAATTTCGGCCTGAGCCGCGCCCACCATCTTCGGACGGCTGCGAATACGTGCCTTTAGTCCCTGAAACAGTGATTGCAGGATGTATCCATCAATCACACTCCCCTGCGAATCTGTTACTAGTACGATTCCCTTAGAATGTTTGTCGATTTTCCGTAACTTGTCTAATACATCGACAAAAATTCTTTCCAAGAAATTTTCCCATTTAATTGGCTCTGGTTAACTCCTCCAATTCCTCAAGGGGAGCAGTACCCCATCCTGCACCTCTATTCCAGCGGACTCTCTAAATGTCGGGCAGTTTTTTCTACATCCTTGGCAGACGAGATGGTAATTGGGCTGTTTTTGCTCCTTTATTTCGTTCCCGTGTCCATCTTCAATACGTTTTTTTCTTCGGAGCTAGAACAAGGTACTAGTCCTCCGGTCTTAGGGTTAACTACGCTTTGGCTGACCGATGGTTTGGGCTCTGTAGTAGTTGGCCTCGTCTGATTTACTATTGGGTTCTCAATCGACATTAACCCGTCCGAAGAGCTATCAAAATTAATCGGGTTATCGACTGATCCCGCTTTTTCGGGTGTCTTTTCCGCGTTCGCTGCCCTATTTTTGTCGAGACACTTGGAAAATGTTTTGATTCGCTTGTAGCGACAGCCTCCCTCGGGTGATTGGGTTCTTCCAACTAACGCCAATTCAGAGTATTCGGCACGCTAACCTTGTAAAGTCGCGGCGACTGGAGCTTCCCCTGGTCCGGACTTCTTTGACTTTAACTTACTGAAAGATCGGAGCTTTGAATCGTCTTTGCAGAATCCATTGTAACCGTATGATCTGTCTCCCGCACAAGTTTTTTTCCATAATTTTACAATAGAGTTCCGATTTCATTCGATCCTGATTTTTCCGAAATATTTTATAACCTTTTTCTGAGCGCTCAAAATCGCCGCTTTGTTCGGCGTGACTTTACTAGGTCCAGAACTGTCCTCTCCATGGGCCACCAAAGCATGATCTATCCAGTCGAATGTGCCCATTGTTTTCTCATCGACTGGTATTGAGTAGTGCTGCAGTTCTTGAATCGGAAACATCTTCTTGTTCTTATCTATTAAATATAACACGTTTTTCCAAGACAGGTTTTGGTTTTTGGGAAGAACATGCCATGAGGCAATCCCGTAACGTTCAAAAACACCGCGTGACAAGACCTGTTGCCCGATGGCTCCCCACCAGTGGAAATATCAACCGATAAAGGTTTTTTGCGCAGAATTCACCGATGGATTTCGAGTTGAATCCCGACGCCTGGCCTGTTCTGATTGCCCTCGGTTTTGCGTGTAAAGCATTATAGGTCTCCATAAATTCCCCAATTACCTCAGCCATTTTTTTTGGTAGTATTTTGACTTGATTTTGGAAAAACTATCTACGCAAATAAATACATACCTATTTTACCCCAACCTGACCGCAACAGCCACAGGAAATCTAATTGGACTTTTTGATTTGAGTTTTACTTACAAATCAAGTTTCGTAATGCCCCCCGAGAAACACCCAATTCAAATTCTTTCCAGATTTGTTAGAATCCAGGCAATTTGTTGCCGTCAATTGAATTTGCCGATTGATATGAGGTCACGAAAAGTAACTGTTTGCCACTTCCTTCATTTTCCAGGTTCCAGAGTGACCCTTATGGAACCTCAACATGATCGGTGCCCCTAATTGAGACAACATTGCCATTCTATTGTCCAGCAATAAAATTTCGATGGATGTGTGTAGCTTGTCGAGATAATTTGCAAAGAAATCGTCTGAGTCTCGAATCTGATTTAATTTGTCTGATTGTTTTGCCTGAATGATTCAAACAAATATTTCGTATGCTTTAGTGAGAATCGCAATTAATTCAGCAATGAAAAACTATGGTCAATCAAACAATGTAAACCGAAAAAGTTCCACTTGATTAGCGTTGCTTCAGCCGACGGCGGTCGCAAGAAATCGATCCCATGGACAATTATGGTAGGTAACTCGTGGTTCTCCTGCCCGTTTTCAGTATCTTGATTGCTGGGATTTATCTTCAATGGGTTATGTAATTTACAATTTCTGCAGTTTTCTGTACGTACGTGTCCAGCAGAACAAACTTTGATCGAATTAAAACTTCGAAATGCGTCAATGAATTTCTTAACTGCACATTCTTTCCCATGACGTAATTCTCTTTCCATTTTGTTCCACAAATTATTTCATTTTTGCGATCTTCCTCAGCGCTGTTAGTTTTAGCCACTGGTTTAAGAATCCTACTAAGTCCAATAATTTGCACTACTATCAATGTGTTGTCAAGCTCGGAGCTATTCCCATCCGGATGCCTAGATAAACAGTCTACCATCCCCATAATCTTTCCTGGAATATGCTCAACTTCAAAGTCAAACAGTAAAAAGCTGGTGTAGTCAGCGTTTTAAACAAGTTTGGGTTGATTTAGTGTATTTCTCTTCTGATAAGCAAGACAATAATGCTTTATTGTCTGTTAATATCTTAAAATGAGCCCCAAGCCAATAATTTTTAAAATGTTTCAACGCCCAAACGACTGCTAATTGTTCCAGCTCGTTCATACTAATTTTTAATTCAGCCTCGTTCAAAATTGGAGCCAATCCATCTGTGTGTAACTGCTACAGTGCCGTCCCCAGGCCCTGTTTCGAAGCGTCATATTCCACTCTAAATACTTTTTGAACGTCAAAAACATTATTTTAGACAAAATCACTGAAAATTTCTTTCATCTGTAGAAGTGCTTTTTCATGTATTGATTCCCATTCGAACGAGAAAGTTTTTTCATCAACTTCTGAATGGTTCAGTTGTAGCGGCATGATCCGTCTCGCTTGGTGATTACAACCTTCGGTAAGACAATACAATATTCCGTATAATTTCCCATTTTTTACCCTCTTTTAACAAATTACTGATTGTTTTTTTCAAATTTAGGCAAAAATGGAATATTACCCGTTATCCATTTACCTGAACTGAACGCTGCGGTTCGTGAAAATGCGTTCTCAATTCACGTTTTTTTAATACTCCCTTCCGCTCAAATAAGTCTTGAATTCTTGCAAAAAGGTTAATGAGCTTACGTTGGATTCGAGATTATTGTATCTCTGAGCTGTTTCTCCTTTGCTCAATCTCATTAGCCGAACTCACCATCTGTTTATGTCGCAGTTTAATCCTGAATTGCGGTAAAACATTATTGCCAATGATCGCCCGTTGACCTTCTTCGGTGATGAACAATTCCGCGTTTTCCGCCATCCAACGTTCAGAGCTAATATCAATGTTGATCATATCATCGGCAGCACCGTAAAATGAATTTTCAGTTTATCTGGCACCCGAATAAATTGCTACATATCCGACGGTTGGATTGCTACATATCCGACGGTGAGTTCAATGAACTCGTGCAAAATTTTTTTTAATGAACTTACGTTGGATTGGAGAATATTGTATCTCTGAGCTGTCGCTCCTGTGCTCAATCTCATTAGCCGAACTCACATTCTGTTTATGTCAGACTTCAATCCTCAATTGCGGTAAAATGTTTTTGCCAATGATGGCCCGTTGACAGTCTTCGGTGATGAACAATTCCGCATTTTCCGCCATCCAACCTTCAGACCTAAAATCAATAAATATTGTCCCGATTATCTTGATCATATCATCAGTTGCACTGTAAAAAGAGTTTTTCAATTTATCTGGCACCAATCGTATTGCTACATATCTGTCCTGAGTTTTGAGTTCGTGTAATTTCGTCTAGGAAATAAACGACACCGGACTTGCGCATTCTATTTGGAATTCTGTTTGCTACCGGTTTTTCCCATCGGAACATTTAACAACTTGCTATTTTTATTTCCAGCTTTGTCGGCACCGTTTGTATCGCAAACCCACCAAGCTCTTTGTCACACCTCTCTTCTTCGCACTTTTGGATTATATTCGTTTCGTACCGCATAAACTCAAAACCGTCTATTTGATTCACGGAGCCCCTTTTACAATGCTTCGCATAATGTCTGCGCCCGCTGCAATTATTATAGACAAAGGTTCTCGCGGGGCAATTTTAACAATGATTTGATATTAGCCAATTTCCACAACTGTGACACTTGTCTTGTCTCTGAACCTTCACATCATTCACTGGGTCTCTCTTGGTGTACCCTGACTGTTGACTTCACCCGGTATTCTATCGTCCGGGGTTAAACTTATTTCTCCCGAAGTTCGGTAGGCGCCCGCTGCGTCTTAAATACATCATTGCGCCTCTCTCCCTCACCACTAAGAACTGTACGGCATCCCATACATAGTTATTTACAAATTTCTTCAATCCTCATGGTGAAGATAAACACGTCCCTATTTTGGATTCCTGTTTCCAGCCAAAGTCCCACCCTCGGGAAAAATCACTTAAGGCTGCATAAAACTGTTCCATTCCCTTTTTTTCTCGATATTTTCCGAACGATTTGTGAAATTTAGTTCTTTCGGAAAAGCGTCACTGCCAACTTCCACAACTCTGCGAAATTTATCTCACGAGGATATTTCTGGTAATGATATCTTTGTCTCTGTTTTCCGAAAGATAGAAATCACTTCGATTTCAGCCTCTTGTCCGCTTCTCCACTGGTACTTCCTTTGAGCAGTTTTTTCTCTTCGTCCAACCGACGGCTTCCTGCTTCCCCCATACTCGCACAGCCGTTTCAATCCGGGCTTCCCTCTCTGTTCTCACTTGTGCTTCCTCCGTACCAAGAAATTCCTCCAAAGTCGTGTAAATATATTCCGGTAACGCATTTTCCGCCAAGTAGATCATCAATATCAATCTCTTCCTTGGCGATTACCATTAGTTGGAATTTCTGCGCCATTTCCTCCCAGGGTACCGGCAGATCTTGAGTTGTTCCGTTCCAAAAAACATCTACGCCACGATAGCTAGATTCCGTTTCTGATTGCGCGATGCAGAAGTATACTCATTTGTTGTATAATGACGTATGTAGGTAACGTAGGCGAAACAACTTGAATTTTTTGAGGAAAACGAATTTTATGCTCAAAACTCTATACACTTTTCTTGGATCTTCTTTTTTCATTGAGAAAGTCTTCTTTGGCCCAAAAACGTCTTAGCCCAAAATCGTTTTCTTTGGCCTGTTTTTCCAAAAACAGAGACCTTTTTTTCCTTGTGGATACCTCTGAAAACCAGTTTGGTCGGGCTAAAAAAAGATCGACAGAATCCTAGATCCGCCACTGGGTTGGGCCGGAAATATTAGCAATTAAAAACATTTGCATTGCAGCTGGTCACGTTTTTCGACCATGTTTTTTGGACGTAGTCTAAGTAACAAGGATGATGATCACATGCAGGGACGGATTTAGGGGGTGGCGGGTGCGGACGCTTTTTCCTTTCTTCAGGGATTCGACCCCCTGACGACCCAAAGGGTCCCCCTTTGTACTATTTTGAGCTGACTGACCCTAAAATTTTTCTAAATGCGCCTTTGGCGGCAATTTATACTAATTTTGAGGGTGGATCGCGCGCTAAGAAACGCGATTTTTCGCTTCGGTTAAAGTTTTCCAAAAAGTGTCTAAAACGCGGCGCAGAAAACTTGGCCATAACAGGGTCTTTTTAGTGCTTTGGGAGAGCTTGGAAAATCAATTTGTAAATTTGGTCGATCTAGAAAAAAAACGATAAAATTTTCAAATTTCCCCCTCGAGAAAATCTTAGATCCGCCCCTGATCACATGTATAATAATGATTTAAAAAAGTTTTTCCAAACGATAACTAGTTGCAGATTTATTTATTTAAACCTACAACATCAAATTTGAATCATTTGGGAGAACACGATCCAGCATGTGGTCAGGAGCATTGCAATTATCATTTGGTGTGTTAGCGTATGCGCAATGACAAGGAGCAGCGGGAGGCGGCCCAGATGGAGCAGGTGATGATGTTGAGTCAGGCTAAGCAGCAGATGGACCAGATGAAGGAGGCCATGCAGGACCTCAAAGACGACAACGCAAGGCTGCAGTCCAACATGCAGAAGAGAAATGCACAGATAGCTGCCATGGGTAAAAACTCCTCTTTCTACGACCCAGTCAACTGCTTTATTTACTTGAAAAAGCACAATCGCAGTACTAAGATATTAGATAGAGAATTTTACTTCTACTTTCAATTTATTAATGAAAAAAACTGATGATTTTTTCAATAAGTGAGGTATCTTAAATTTTAAAAAATGATTGAAGCTTATAACATTGTGAGATAAAAAAATATCCGAAGCCGAACATTTTTTTATCATATTACCAATATTACCAAATTTAATAGGTATAGTGATCAAATAAAACTTTATACATATATGAAAAAGCAAAAAGCTTTTCCAAACATTTTGAAAAAATTGGTTAGTTGGCCATAAAGATTCAATAGACATTTTTCAAATGCTCTTCTCATATGTTTTGCAGGCAAGACGGGTGCAGACGACATAGATGACCCTGACCTGAAGATGTTGAATGACGAGCACCAGGGCCAGATTGGGAAGATGAGGGTGCAGCTGCAGGAGGAGAGTAGGAAGGCGGAAAGGGCCAACAGGGCGAGGGATGACGTCATGCAGCAGGTGGAGCGACTGAAGAGTGAGATGCAGGCCCAAAAGGAGAAGTTCCTCAGAGAGAAGGCGGAGGTAGCTACTGGAAGCAATTTTTTTTCTTTTTTTAGTAGCGTTTTCATTCCCCAAAAATCATGGTCACATTTTCCAAGCAAAAAATGATATATAGAGTACACTATAGCTATGCTACTTTTGTTAACAAATTGTTTAATGAAACCTTATTACGGGCAAAAAAAAATGAGTTTTTAAAAAATTTTGATGAATTGAAAAAAGAATTTTAAAAGGTTATGACCATTTTTTTGGTTGTTCAAAAATTTTAAAAAGTTTTGATGATTTTTTGGTTGTTCTTTTTCAGGAAAAAGTCTTGAAACACTCTAGTCATTAGAGAAGTGCATTCATATGTATTAAAGTATTTATTAGTGCACTTACGTTTGTATGCACTAGGTAGTTTCAGCACGAACGTATCTGATCAAAGTTTCAAGTTCATGAAATTTAGAGACCGTTGACCTGATTTTTTTTCTTTAACTCGAAATTCGAAAAATAAACTTCAATTTCTTTTTGGTTTTAAATCTTTTTTAAAATTTCTTTTGCTTTGTATTATCGAAGTAAAGTTATTCTTTTTCTGTAAAAACTTTTCAGGTTCTCCCTCTGCTGACTTTGAACAAATTTCACGTTTCTAGCAAAAAGTATATATCTACATTAAGCTGATATTATTCAGAATACCTAATTATTTAAATCAATGAAATTATGAGAAATTCCAGATTTTGGGATACTGTTTTACCGTCAATGTTAATTGCAACGGTTCCGAATAGACCATTCTAAAACAATTCCTGGTCAATACAAGGCAAATCTGTGCATCTTGTGAATTGTAAGTGGATGCAACAAACTTTAAGCAGGTTTGCCGCGGAAAGAGCAACATTATTATTTTTTGTTGATTTTCTCGTTTTGGAAGCAAAGAAATAGTTAAAACTTTGTATCGCTCAAACTTGCGGAATCAGCAATAAATTTGCAAACTGCGGAACAGTTTGTGGAATCCACAAGCAAATAATATTAATATATGTGTAGTATTATTACTCTGTTGTGGATTCCTTAGCTGTAAAAATCCGCAAACTGTGAGCAGACTTCCGCAAATTATGAGTAGAATTTGCAAATTGTAAGCGGAATCCGCACTTTTGGTAGCGGCATTCAAGTAATTTCTATAGGAAACCTTTATTTAAAAGTAACGTAACAGATAAACTTTCTTACTCTCAACAGTTGTAAGATAATTTTGGTTTCTTGCTGTTTCATTCCGCATTTGGTTAGATATTATTTGTTCATAAAAGAACTAGTTTAGTTCAATGTATGCAAAAAAATTGTGAACTCTCGCAAATTTACGGATTCCGCGTACAAATTTACGGAATCTGCTTGCATTTGCGAAATCCGCTTACAATTTGCAGAATCCTCTGTTTTTTTTTGCGGAATAGTGATCAACCTGCTAGGTTCGCGCGTTGAAGAATTCATGACAAAACTAATGTGCAAATAGTGCTTGCGTTACAGTCATGTGTGCGCTGAAGCCAAGGAAATATTGTAACTAGAGTCTATTTTAAAGATGGATTCTTGTCTCAGGATTCTTGGTTCTCGATTCAACGGTTTGTCTCTGGATTTTAGCGACCTAGAGTCACGAAGTTGTGCGCTTATCAAGTGCACAGTTTGGCTTCGTAATGATTAAAAATATCCTCACCTTAGAAAAATCAATTAATTCAAACTAGTGTAAAAGTGTTTCGAAAAAGTTCCTTATGTCACAACATACCTTATGAAAATAGCTAAATAACTGTTCAAAATGAAATTTTTTTATCACAAAACAAAAACCTCTTCAATCAAAACATTGGAGAGAAAGCAAAAATTGCTACCACATAGCTCTTTTTTTGTCTTTACTGGTATCATTTTCTCGTAAAGATTTGAAGAAAAATGATGTTTTTCAAGTAAAAAAGTGTGTACTGTTTTTATTAATACGTAGGCTGCATTCTGCACAAATAGCGTTCATAAGAGATGTAACTGCTATCCTTGCCTAAGCTTATAAAGAAGTGACAAATTTAAGAACTATAAAAACTGTTGATTTGGTACGGCTCGTGAGAGTCGACATATCGCTATTCCTATTCGAAAAAAAAGCTTTGTTTAACTTCGAATTAATTGCATTTTTTGTTATGGTTTCATCTTCAACAGATAAAATTTTGGAGTTATCAGGTAAATTTTTTTTTAACGTTGGGTGACATTTTTTGGCTGGTATCTAAATTTTTGCTCTCTGACTGGCTAATAAGTTAGCTCTTTGAGGTTTTTTAGAGCAGCTAATGGATCCCACGAGATACCCGATCTTATTACAATGATAAGCATAATCTTACAATTTTTTCTAAGATTTTAAGGAAAATTGCTATATTAAAACTGTCTTACCTGTCATAAAAAATTGCAACCTTGTAACATTTTTCAAGTTTAATTTTGTAAATGAACGAACTTAAAAAATGTTCTAACAGAGCTGCTTTTGGTCAATCAGGAATTGTTGTTGCATTTTTGAGAAACTTCAGCACATAGTAGAGCGACTCTTTCGCCATTTATAACACATAGTTTTAGCTGGAGGCAGGCAATTCAGTGCTGCAAGGCTACGAAAACGACATGAAGGAGTTTGAGAAGAACCCTCAGAACACCCTGACTGCACCCGTGGGGGAGGGGGAGACAGACATTGGACCCACTGCTAAGAAACATATCAAAACATTAGAGGGACAATTGGAGCAGGTATGGTAAATAACGAACCTTAAAATAAATAACAAATGAAAAACAAATTACTTAAGTTATGTACCTAAAACTGTACGTAAGATCGAATATAGGATGCTTTTGACAGGAACGGTTTTAGGATTTAATTCGGGACTTTTCGGTTATACCCCCCCCCCCTAATTGATTAAAAAAAAATTAAAACTTTTCTTACAAAGTTTGACTGATTTTACTTAAAAATGCAGGGCTGATATCGCCAGCGTTAAATTAAGCTGGAAACTGGCAAAAAATGCGAACTTAACAACTTTTGCTCAGAATTTTTGCCAATTTTTTGTTGATTTGTTAAATTATTCAATTGTTTCTTTTTGTTACTGGCCTTGCTTCTTTCCTCCACAAACAGGTTATCTTCTTGCGTGTAAATGTTTTTTTCCCACAAAACTATGGTTTCAAAGATTTTGCTTGAAATAAGGTTATCTTTAAAGGAGGTTATCTTGCAAGATCTTGTAAGAATCTTGCAAGATATTTTAAAGAAGTTCATCTTGCAAGATATCATGCCTCGATCAACTAGGGGTGAGTGTAAACGTGTAAATGAGGATGTGTAAGCTGGTATGAGGGGGTGGTATAAATGTGGGGGGTGTCATATGCTAGATGGACGAGAAGTGACCTAAATTAAATTAGGGAGATTAAACAAAGATCAGCAAAAAAAGTGAGAAACTAAAATTTCTTTGATAATTTGTTTTATCTGATGTAAAGTTTATTAAACCAAAAGCAACTGTCAGGTTTTGAATATACTGCTCTGTGGTAGAAAACTTCGGAAAAATTTTTTTAAAAATTTGTTTATTTTACATTATAATTGATTAAAACAGATTAAAAAGGATAAGACATCGAGAATAAATCTCGTCGAAAACCATTTGAGACTGAAAATTTAAAAAATTAAGTTTCGAGATTTAAACCCAATGAGTTTTGAATCCTTGAAACAAAGATATCACGAATGCGTAATGTATGACTAACAGGCAAATTCGAGGAACAAAAGTCTGGAAGAGGAGAACCAACAGTTGAGGTCACAGGTGCGCAACTTGAACGGGGAGGTCAGTCCAGATATTCTCATATTCACCATTGAACTTTTACACTAGGCACAACTCTAGTCATTAAGAAAAAGATAGAAATCATACTCGCGATAGATTTTTTTTTATATTTGTAAAAGTTAGGGACCAATTAATCTTTTCTTGACATAGACAATCGGCTGAAAAAGACTACAAAAGATGAAAAAGCCCAAAAGTTAAAACTTGAAATATAGGTTTTTATGTTCAGAGAGCTTGAAAATCATAGTTTGTTCAATGAAAAACTTATAACTGTGAGATTTTTCCAGCATCGTTAATATGCTAGGACTGCATCAATGCAACTCTTTAAAGACCTCTAATATTTCTGGGGACTTGACTACGCAAAATGATAATTTTTCTGTTTCTAATCAAAATTTTTGAACTTCTAGGTCTCCGTTGCAAAAAAGAGTGCTGATGTTGCAGACTCAAAGTTCCGCAAGGCCACCGAAGAACATTTGAAGGAGAGAGCTTCACTGCGAAACTCAATCGACCAGGTAAAATTAGCTTACATCTCATCAATAAGGCCTGTAGCATTGTGTTTGCGCAGGGTCATTTTTAGGGGACGGGGGACGCAACCCCTCTCAGAGGCTTGGCTCCTCTCGTCACCCAAAGGCTCGTCCTTTGATACTATTTTACGACATCAATTTTTGGACCAGTGAACCTCATGACCCTAAGGGTTTTCTAAAGGCGCTTTTGGTACCATTATATGCAAATTTTGTGCTCGACGAAAATTGAGTACGCGCCGAAAAACGCGAATTTTTTGTTCAAAACCTATATTTGGCTGGTTATTTTGTAATTTTTGCTTGCGGCGGAGAAAATTTTGAAAATTAAAAGAGCCTTTATAGTTCCCGGGGAGAGCTCAATCAATCATTTTGATCGGCTTGCAAAAAGGTAGACAAATTTTTGAAAGTATTTTGCCATCTGCGAGGAGCTGCAACTAGTTGTTACTACAAATTTCAGTTTTTGCACTAATTGTTTTTATACAGGCGACTAAAACAAAACTTATGAGCTCCAAAGGTAGAGGCAGCATCAAACAGACCACAACTGCAGGCAGTCTCAAGAGGTCGGGTGCTCTTTCTGACGATGATGACGATGAAGATAGTAGTAGTAGTGACGACAGCAAGTTGTCCAGTCATCTCAGCAAGTAGAAAATGGTTTCATGAGAGCCCAGTAGAACCACTGGATCACTAACTCCACGGCCAGCAGTTCGTAGAAAGCTAGAGAGCCAATAATCAAAGCATTACCTGTGATTCATTGCGTCTTGATTCATTCTTTTCTTTGAATCTGCTTTTGTGAAAAAAATTTATTATTAGATTTCGTCCGTTTTGTTCTTAGTCTGTGCATCCCGGGTCGAGGCTCTCGATTTACATTTTGACTTTCTCGACCAAAAATTGGTAATTTTTGCACATCCATACAGACTAATTATGCGTAGCGCATACATTTGTTTCAAAAACCCTAAAATAGCTTTTTGACGGATTAAATTATCAATAGAAAAGTTTCTCCTTATTAAGCGATCTGTTGGTAAGATTTAAAATTTTTCACCATGCAAATTATCCGTCGCAGCATATCAGAATGGACAAGATTTTTCACAAAAACCTATTTTTTCACTGAAATGATTAAGAAAACCTATCCTTAGTACACGATACGCTTTTTTTAGAATTTGATTAGTTTTCACCATGCAAACCAAACCTAGCAACACACATATGGTGCTTTGTGTGAAAAAAGTTTTTTTTCTTGAAATAAACCAAAAAAGCAAAACAAAAAACTCTAATGCATTTCTTGTTATCAAAATTTTTCATTAGTACAGGAAAGTTGAAATGCAAGATAATAAAACTTCAATTGAACCACAAAAAAAAATAATAATAATAATTTTTAAAAAATCAATTTCTCTTCGAAATCTATCAACTAAACAAAAGTAAAAAAAAATACCAAATAATTTAGCAATAAATTTGGCCCTTGTTCCGCAGCTACATACTGAAACCAACGGATGACAGAAACTGGAGAAATTAATTATTAATAAACTATTCTAATTCTATTTACCTATGTACAATTATTGTACATAAACTTAAAAAGACTAAAACTATTAAGAGGAAGTATGTGAATTAAGAACGTTAAAAGGTCAACTGAGCAATATCTCATATCGACCAATGGACGTAACTAAATTGGTTAACAGGTATTAATTGAATACCGAAGGTCATTTAAGACACTAAAACAAATCGCAACATTTCCCACCGGGAAAAAAATAAAACTGCAAACTAACTACATAACTCTATTTACACCCTGTTCCCCCTTGGAGAAAGGACAAAATTTTACAAACTGCACCATGAAGGTAAATATACAGAAGCAAAATAGAATCCACAATTGAAAGAGAATGTACAATGTAACGGGTGACTATACAGAATTACAAATTTACAAAGTGCAGTACCTAACTAAATTAAAACTAATCCACAACATGTACATTAACATGTACAATTGTATCTACAGGTAAAATTGAAAATCAGACGATAAGATATGGGTCAAGTTTGTATTTTGTTCAGTTTATTTGATATGTGAGTTAATTAAATTGCTTGTCAAAATCATCCAGTTTAGCCCTCATTTCCGAATCTATAGTCGAGGAAATTTCGCTACAGTTGTCTACCTCGTGTGGGGAGTCCTTCGTGATCTGGTAGGCTGAGTTTGAGCCCGAGGATTTTTCCTGGAAACGAGTCGTCGTAGGAGAAACTACTGGTCTGACCGTCGGGAGAGAGTTCTTTGATGACCAGGATAACGTCGTTTCCGCAACGAGAATTTGTCGGGGAGGGGCCTCCGCTAGTGGTGTTAATAAATCGGACGGTGATGTGACCGTGAAAGTAGCCCTGGGAAAGTCGGGTGGAGAGGAGAATACTGAGGGTGACACTCCTGTGTCATCTTTTTCTAGAACCACGTCTATAAAACGGCGATTTCCGTAAAACTGTGGGGGCCCACATTTCTGCGTGGTCTAGAATGTCGAGGCTTTATCGTCGGGCTGACCGTAGGCTCCGGAGTACTGTCTACTAGTATTGGGTTATCTTGCGATCCTTCTGTTGCGGTCGAGTTGGGGATGATAACGATCTCCCGGAGGTCGGTGTTCGCTGGCCTTTCTGAGCTCGGGTGTGGGGACTCGACGGTACCTGTAACACTTAAGCCCTGGTTAGATTCGGAATGATGGCTCTGAGGTATATTGTTAATGGTCACATAGTCGAATTAATCATCGATTATCCCGTCCCACGAGTCTGGGTTTAAAGAAGAAGAGGAACCTGAAGAGATTCTTGAAGAGTCTTGAGTGGCCACGCTCACAGTCGGTGCTCTGGAGTTGGACGCTCTTGAGGTGCCTTGACCCGAATGCCCAGAGGGTGTCGATACAGCTTTCTTTGGTGGTGAGAGTTTCCTTTTCCCAGCTAAACTTGAATGAGTATGAGATTTATGCCCGGTGGGTGTCTGATTCACTATTATTTTTTTGGGACAGGGAGTATTTTTCTTTTTATAGCCAGATCCGATTTGCGTAAAACGTGACCGTTGTCAAAGGTTATGGTGTGTGTTCTGAAGAGTCGATGATATCCTTCTTAACCAGATTAAAATATGGATCCCTATTTTTCCTGTTAGACACCTTTCTATATAAGTTACCTCCCATGACTGCTTTTCTTTTTGCAAGTGGTTCTGAAGCTTGTTTAATGTCGTCCGGGTTTGTATTTAGAGTGGCTGTCCTAGATAGTGGCAGGTTATCTTCTGGGTCTGACGTGCTGTCCTTTTCCTCGTCCAGATATCCATCTTCTGCCCCGTCGTGGAGTTCCCAGATAGTGGCCCGATCTTTGGACATGATAGTTTTCCCTTTATCTAAATGGTCAATATCGGACATAAGGTTTTTCCACCTAAGTTCAGGAGTTTCTTTGTTTCGAGACCGTTTTAGTCGTAAATAGTTCTAACGCTCAATACCGAGAATTCGTCGTCGTCACTCTGTCCGTACTCGTTCCACGCATTTATAACATCACACGATTCTTGGTCTTCCGTCCACGAGTTTTCCGGAGGTGCGTATGTACAATTCTCGGTAATTACATAATTATCTGATACAGTATTTACAGTTGGTCTCTTATTGCGTGATTTACATAATTTAGCGAAGTGTCCTTTATAATTACAATTTTTACAGGTTATGTCCTTCGCTGGGCAAACGTTTAAGTGTCCTTTCGTAAATGTATTCCCACATTTCATGCACGAGTTACTCCGTTCAATGTTTAGGCTCGGTTCCTTTTTGATCTGATTGTGATTATTAAAAGATTTAAAAGTTGTGCTGTTGGTCGACGACCGTGATATATTTGTCAATTTCTGGTGATTAAAATATCCCTTTTTGTCGATTAAAGCTTGATTAAGTGCTTCCGACGGGCTTATGGTGCATGACAGTAGTTTCCTCTGGGTATCTGTGTTCTTCATATTGCAGATGAAGATGTCCCTTATCCATTCTGCCTCGTCAGATTCCTTGATGTTGCACGTGCTGACCAAATCCGTCAGGGCTCCCCAGAATTGTTCGTACGACTCGCGGTCTTTCTGCTTTCGATTTAATAATTTACATCTTAAGAAACGTAGTGTTGGGCGGTTTGTTAAATGCTGCGTCTAGTAGAGTCCAGAACTCGGAGAAAGTTGTTGCTAAAATCTTGACTCTCGGGTTCTTTTGTGTAAAAACTCTTTTTCCTTCGCTCCCTATGGCTAGAAATAAAATTGATCGCAGTTTCTTGTCCGCCTCCGTTCGTCTCATTCCATTAAATTTCCTCTTTTCTTCGTTGATCCGCTTTTCTTCGGCGATTCGTACTGTTTCATCGCGTTTTTGTTCCTGTTCTCTCTGTTGGCTCTTTCCGTGTCCGACTCGCTGCCTGTTGCTTGTTCCAAACTTGGTATTTGTGTCTCTGGTATCTCTGGTCCGTGCAGACTCTCTAAATCCAGATTTTCTTTGGCAATTATCGCCAATTGAAATTGGTCGCTCCATTGGGTCCAGGCATGCGGCAGTGGCTCTAGGGTATGGTTAGGCCAAAAGGGGGGAATTCTACGCACGTTCGAATCATTAGGCTGCGCCAAAATAAAATATTCTAATTCTATTTACCTATGTACAATTATTGTACATAAACTTAAGAAGACTAAAACTATTAAAAGGAAGTATGTGAATTAAGAGCGTTAAAAGGTCAACTGAGCAATATCTCATGTCGACCAATGGTCGTAACTAAATTGGTTAACAGGTATGAATTAAATCCCGAAGGTCATTTAAGACACTAAAACAAATCACTACAATTATAATTACTTGAATCTACGAATCAGTTTTGAAAAAATATGATTTTTTTAAATTTTCTTGGTGTGTTGCAACGAATTTGGCAATTTTTGACTAGTAGGTCGAGACGCTTTAAATGGGTGAGCAAAGCATCCGCAAGAGGTTAGTCAAGTTGCCGACGTGATAATGATTTTGCAAATTCTGTCAAGTTGTTTCAGTTCAATGGGCAATCTAATTTGAAGTCTAAACCTATCTAATTTGAAGTGTCCCATAATAAGTGTGCAACCATACGTCGCGCCATGCAGGGAAAATTTGTGATTGTAGCAGAAAATACTTCGGCAATTTTTCATGGCTTCAATGGAACCTTACATGGTGTGACGTATGGATAGACATTTTGGTCAACCCGGGGGGTTCCTTTCTCGATCCAAGTCTCCTTAGCGAGAGCGCTATTCTCCCAGCTTGATTAAATGCTGTTGGATGATGGTGAAAAACAGAGCCGGACAGGAACAGTAAATTGCAAAGAGAGCAAGGGCTAAGATTACGAGGCACGGCAGTGAGAGAGAGATCAGAGAGAAAAAAAAATTTAATTCGATCTCTTGAGACTTTTGAGAGCTTGCTATTTATGCTCGGCCTGGAAACATTGACATGTTGGTGTCCCAAACTTGATACTTGCGTACAAATTTCCTTCTGAATTTTGCCCCATCTGACTTTTTCTCTCTCTACTTCAACCTTATTCAACAGGTTCGGTGAAAATCAACATAAAAACCTATTAGATGGGTTTAAATTTGGTTGCTGATGGTGGAGTGGCTGTGTTTACGGCAGCACAGCAAAACAAATGATAATGATTAGCTTTTGAGGTGAAATTCTCCTTAAATTGATTAAATTAATCTTACAAAATTGGCGCAACTGGTTGGCTTTTCTTGCGAGTATAAGGTATCTCGAAAAAAATCGT